TTGGACAGGTTATCAAGGATCCTCCTCCACCACCACCTCCTGCACCGAAAGTGGTAAATCAGTGCCTAATAAGTGATGTGGATATTTTTTTCTGTATTCAGATACTATCCCCAAATATGATCATTTACTTTGTTGTTAGACAACGGTGATACCTGTCATTGACTTTTGAATTTATGAAAATTCATTGTTATTTTTCATCTTCTTATGACTTCTTTCATGTGCTTGAGGAATAGAACCTTCAAAAAATGACAAATATAGCCTGGCCATGAGGATCAAAAGCGCATAGAAACTTACTTTTCTTTTTATGTCAATACATCAATAGTCCGGATGTTACTTATAAAAAGTTGTAAGATCCAAGCTGACGGTTTAAAGATGCTATTCCTTTCTTCAAGATGATTCTTTTATATTCCATTCTTTGTTAGCCAAAATTGAGTTAGTACCATGAAATATGGAAGGTAGTGGTATAGTGCATTTTCAAAACTTTGCAACTGCCTATCTTTTTAGTACAAATTTTGCAGTTTAACTTCAACATGTATGTTGATGTTTTAAATGATTATTGAAATGCTGTTCTAAAGTTAATGTCTTTTTAAATATGAAGTGATGTATAGAACTGGAAAAATCAATGATGCTCATAGTTAGGGAGCAACTTCTGGTGATCTGGTGAAATAAGGGAGATTCCTAAAATCGGAAGGGCAGGAGTCCTTGTATTCTGTAGAATTCCACTTGAAATTTATGCATGTAAGCGTAAGTACATCCTCATGCCCTCTACGTAATTGTTACCACATTTCTTTCATGTCAGTGGCATTATTTGGAAGAAACGTTTAAATGTGAGTTAGTTCTGATGAAACAGTATTTTAAGAAATTAATTAAGCCCGTGTTTAAAAACTTGTATCTACCCAGGAAGAAGAAGAACCTCTGCCCACCAAGAAATGGCCCACGGTGGACGCTTCCTACTACGGTGGCCGAGGGGTTGGAGGAATTAAAAGAATGGAGGTTGGTATCTTTAAAAAAGAAAAAAAAAACCCAGAAGCTGCTAATCTGAACGTGTAATTCTAGAACTATTAAACCATGGAAACTGTGCTTTTCACAATTTAATAATACCGTCCAATTTTATTTAACACTGGCTCTTTTTTGGATATAATTTTTTTCTATGGGATCATCCTGGCCATTTCAAAACCATTCAAGAAGAACTGACTTCATTTAGTCAAAGCATCGCATTGATAAGATGTTTGAACTCTAAAGGGCAAAACAAAGTTAGGGTTTTTCTCACTATTTTGGAAAAAATTACTGCAGACAGCATCAACTTTGTAGAAGCCAGCCACTTAAAGTTGCAACAATGCTTTTCTTTGAAAAGATCCAATAGTTATGTACTGTTTAGAGATAGAAATGTTAAAATATTCAGTGATATGGGTATGACCTTATCACAAATGTAAGGAAGCACATTTAGACTTTTTTTTTTAAACAGCTTTTAGTTACCACTTATGAACAATTATAATTAACTTAATTTATTTTTTTAAAGTTTACGTATTTATTTTGAGAGACAGAAACAGACAGTGTGCACCTATGAGCAAGTGCAAATGAGCATGAATGGGGGAAGGGCAGAGAGAGATGGAGAGAGAGAGAGAGAGAGGGAGAGGGAATCCCAAGCAGGCTCTTAATGGTCAGCACAGAGCCTGACATGGAGGCTCGAACTCAGAACCCATGAGATCATGACCTGAGCTGAAATCAAGAGCCTGATGCTTAACCGAATGAACCACGTAGGCACCCCCATCATAGTTAATTTTAAATATCACTTACAGAATGTATTGAACTTTTAAATTTTTTTTTAACTTTTTATTTATTTTTGAGACAGAGAGAGACAGAGCATGAACGGGGGAGGGGCAGAGAGAGAGGGAGACACAGAATCGGAAGCAGGCTCCAGGCTCCGAGTCATCAGCCCAGAGCCCGGCACGGGGCTCGAACTCCCGGACCGCGAGATCGTGACCTGAGCTGAAGTCGGACGCTTAACTGACTGAGCCACCCAGGCGCCCCTGTATTGAACTTTTAGACTGGCTCAAATTGAACTTTAATATTATATCTTCAAAATGAAATGTGGTCTTCTTGCCACCACAGAAATAGTTCTCAAAGTGATAGCTTAATTAATAATAAGCCATTATTGCCAGCACTGAGCCCTTAGCAACAGTGTAGACAGGCCAGCATCCCACCTCAAGGAACAGTTGGAGGAATTTTGTCATTGATAGGCTGACTTTATTATGAAACACAGATCCTGGCATTTCTTTCTTACTAGTTACCTTTTAACTTTACTTCTTGATAAGAAGGAGTTTTTATGTGCTCTGCAATTATTGTGTATCTCCTACCACCGTATCTGCCTTGTCGTGTCACTGCCAGCAAAAACCAGTAAGCCAATTAATAAACCACCTCACAACGGTTGCAGTTTTCTCTTTTTATACTTTTCTATAAAATTCAGATTCCCTAGGAGAGTTTCCCCTTTTCAGAATAAATTTCAGTATTCTTCCAAAGAAGTGGTTACTCAAGCCATCTGATAGTGATTCTCACTTTCTTGACCACATTAGATGTTAAAGTAATGCACACTTTCCATAAAAGCATGCCACTGTATTGCTGAAATATCCACTGAGACAGGTACGTCATTGCTAATAAGCCATGGAAAAAGGAGATGCAGGAAGCTATTAAGTTTGTCTTTTGGAGGACATAGTGCGTATGTGTTTTCTTGTGAGTGATTGAGAATATCAAACAGTCCACAAGAACGTGGCTATGCTAGCTTTTGTTGCCTGACACAGAACCAGGAACATTTCCTTCTGCTTACTTTTGTCGTGTCATTCAAGGCTTGGAGGGGTGGGGAAAGAATAGACTATGTCATCTAATGTATATGAAAAATAAACTTGGAGATAAAATAGTTACCTCTGGATATCCTAATATTGTTTATCTCAACTTATTTTTAGCTTATTTCACCTCATTCCAAAATGTGCATGTAAAAAAATGTGTGCAAGGGGAAAAAAGTTTTGACAAGACATACTACAAAATGTTAGTAGATTTCTCTGGATGGAGTGATTTTCAGTTTGTGCTATGTATTTCCCTATTTTTCCTAACTCATTTGATAATGAGCATGCACTACTTCAGAGTCAAAATAATACATTTAATTTTATTTTGAAATCCACACATATAAAATACCACATGACCGTGAAATAAGGATATGCTAGTAAGTGAGCCTTAACTGAATAATGTTCTTGCTGAAAAAACGAGGAATTATGCCAGATTTTTGTGAGTCCAGTATTCCAGTGTACCAAAGATTGAGATCTCTTTCTAAAGGGGGGGAAAAAAAAGCATACACATGAGCTCCTGAAGGGGTCCTGAGTTCAAAGGAATAATACTGGTTTATGATCAAGAAAGCCAAAGGCTGATGCACATTCTTGAGTAACTCACATTTCAAGTTCTAAGAGTTATTAACTCTTAATATGTGAAACGATATTGCCTGTCCTTTTCAGTTTAAGAAAACTTATGAAAAGGACCCACTTTTAATGATTGGGGTGCATTTTAGCTTTGGACAATTTTGGCTACATTGTATAGGGTATTCCATACATAGGGTATGTAGGTATATAGGGTATTCCATACATAGGGTAAATAGGGTATAGGGATGGAAATGGGAATGAGAAAAAATGAGAAAGGAAATGTGAACATTACAAAAGGGAAACAATACATAAAAATACACAATAAAAATTGAATCAAGAATTAAGCACCATGAAACTTTCTCAAACCTGATCATATTTAAACTTAGGGAAAATAGAAAATTTAATCTGTTTTAAAACCATGCCTATTTAAGCCTGGAAAGTATTTTCCTTAAAAAATACCTCTAACTAGGAAAAATAAATGGAATTCTAGAAGTTATGTGCACATCTGAATTACAGAACAAATCTTCATAACTAATGTTATTTTAAGGCAGGATAGGGATTTTACGTAGATTTTTTTTCTTACTCTTCCTTTAAATTAAATATTTAAACGTTACGGTAATGGCAATTTGCAGAACGCTGGAACTGAGCTGATGTTAATAACAGCTGTTAGCACAACTGATCCACAATACCTAATGACTTCAAATGTGTGTTTCTGCCAATTCAGCGTGAAACTGTTTTTGTTTCTTTTCTCAATTCTAAAATTGCTCCTTTATGATACAACCTCCTAGTCATCCAAATATACCCTGGCAATTATGGAATTTTATTGTTTATTATGAAAGCCAAGTAGAGTTGGAAGGATTTAGCTATCAAGCTTGCACTTATTTTTTTTTTTTTCCATAGTAAAAAAGCCAGGTATATTAATTCTGCTAAAGTTCCCTTTAGCAATTTATTTGTCTGTTTTTTTTAAATCCTTTTGTGACTATCTTAAAGTGGTTAAACTAAAATATTAAAATTTATACAACTAAATGTATATATATATTTGCTGGCATACCTTGTTTTATTGCACTTTGCTTTATTGTACTTCACAGATACCGTGTTGTTTTTTAGAAACGGAAGGTTTGTGGTAACCCTGCATTGAGCACGTCTGTCAGCATCATTTTCCCAACAGCATTTGCTCACTTTGTGTCTTTGGGTTATGTCTTGGTAAATTCTTACAATATATCAAACTTTTTCATTATTATTGTATTTGTTCCGATGATCTATAATCAGTGATTACCACTTGCTAAAAGTTAAGATGACAGAAGCTTTTAGCAATAAAATATTTTTACTTAAGGTACATACATGGCTTTTTTAGACATAATGTTATTGCACACTTAATAGACTACAGGACAGTGTAAACATAACATTTATATGCACTGGGAAGCCAAAAAATTCATTTGACTCATTTATTACGCTATTTGCTTTATCGTGGAGGTGTGGAGCCAAATGCGCCATATCTCTGAGGTTATGCCTGTAATTGCTTGGAGAGTTTTAGGAAAAATCTATGAAGTATTTCCTAATTTTAGACTTTGAAATTGAATGGGAATTATTTGTTTTGTTCTTTGTATGATGGTGACGATGAAGGACCAGTTACTTTAGGAACTAACACTAAGGATTCAACTAATGAATTTCCTTTAGACCTCAGCAACTCTACTTCACAGAATATAGTCTTTTAATAGTTGAGTGTCTAGAAATACATTGAGTCAGAACTCCAGTTCAACAACCTTCTTCATGTTCTTTATCTGAGAACGGTGCCAGTGATAATTGGAGAATATGATTACCATTACCTCTAAGATACCAACTGTGCAAGCGAGCCTGGAGAGCTGTGTATGTTAAGTCTATAAGTTCTGAATAGATCTAACCTTTATCTACTTACATTTTTAGTTTGAATTACTTTTCTGAGTTATGACATTCATTTGTTTACTTAATTGTGTATATTTTTTTGTTTTCTTTTTGTTTTTTTTTTTTTCCCTTAAAATTGAGACTTCACAACTGCCAGAATAATATCCTGGTTTTAGAGGGTTTTGTTTTGTTTTGTTTTTGTTTTTGTTTTTATTTTTTTAGCTCAGGTTAGCTATATTTAAAGATTTCATAAGTTTTAGTTTATCTAGGTGAAGACACTGTGATTTGAAAGAGAAGGTCATTTCTCTGGAAAGAAAACCAACTACCTAGCTCTAAAGGTTTAATGGTGTTTAAAACAATTTTAACAACCTCATAAAGAACATTCTAGTACCACTGATCACACTGAAAGATACAGATACATTTTAATGACTCAGCAGGGTCTACTTGAAGTTGAAAGCCTGTTCTAAAATTGTAGTAAAAAAGGTAAAAACATCTAAGTAAGCCTTATCGAAAAGCCATGAATAGTTCTTCCTGTGAACAGTAATCATCTGTATCCCTACCCACTAACTCAGGTCATTAAAATGCTTTAAAAAGTGCCTGGTTTTTTTTTTCCTTTGTAGAAATCATTTAACTCTGGTGAATCAGCGTGCTCTGGACAAGGCTTCGTATTTCTTTTTAGACCTTCACTTATCTTATCCTTATCGTCTTTGTTAATGTCCTTGCTTTTTGTAGGACTTCTCCACTGCTCCTGGTTGGACAAAATCTTTCTCCAGGAGTCACATCCTATTCCCATACCTATACAGTGGTAAAGTTTAGCTCAGATTTAGCTCTTAATTCTTATTCATTGAAGAATAAAGAAAACAATCATTTGACCCTATAGTTTTTCAATCTCTAGAGCTTTCAGAGAAGGAAATACCCTAAAATGTGTGGAATTCTCTGGTGCCTCTGAATTTTTCTTTTCAAAGCAGAGTCTTTTCAGATTTGCCTTCCTCTCAAAGAAGAATTGACCTGTCAAATAACCATACCCAAATAAGCATCAGAACTAAAGACTAAAAGCTACTTTACAAAGTCAAGTTTTACAAATTAAAGAAAAATTGTATGTAATGATTTTATGTGTACAAATATTTTTTAAGAGACTTTTTTTTTTAAATGTTTTTATTTATTTTTGAGAGGAAGAGAGGGAGAGAGACAGTGCATGAGCTGGGAAGGGGCAGAGAGAGAGGGAGACACAGATTTTGAAGTAGGCTCCAGGCTCTGAGCTGTCAGCACAGAGCCCAACACAAGGCTTGAACCCACGGACTGGGAGATTATGACCTGAGCCATAGTCAGACATATAATTATTTTACTTCTAAAATCTAAATGTTAAAATCATACTTTTTGATTTAGGCAAACTTGACGAGAATTTTGGAAGGAACAACTTATTCCTTTGTTTAAAATACAAAGTTTTTTACAAAGTTGTAAAATACATGTAAATTATATTTGTAAAATTCAAACCTATTTGAAAGGTACTTATTTCAGACTGCTTACGTTCAAATCCCTGCCCTGCCACTTGCTAGCTGTGTGACTTTGGACATATCACTTAACCTTTCTGTGCCTCAGCTTCCTCATCTGGAAGGAAAAGAATATAGTACCTATACTGTCTATTCCATTGCATTTTTGTATGGATTAAATGCAAATTGGCACATGGTAGCCATTCAGTAAATGTGAATTGTCATCATCATCTCTTTCCCCCAGTGCCATCAGTACATATGGGTACATATTTAGCTAGAAGAGGAACATACCTAATTTAGTCTCAGAAGAGGAGAAATTGAGAGTTAGTATACTACTCATCTGTTTATTCCAAGATGGTGAGCCAAAAGACCATCTACTAAATAAGAGGTTGTTCTTCTAGGACACTATATGTCTGATACAAGTATTTCCCCATTGTTTTGAAGGTCCGTTGGGGTGATAAAGGATCTACTGAAGAAGGCGCGAGGCTAGAGAAAGCCAAAAATGCTGTGGTGAGGATTCCTGAAGAAGTTGAGGAACCTGTCAGGCCTAGACCACCTCGTCCCAAACCCACGTACCAGCCTCCTCAGACAAAGTGGTACACACCAATTAAGGTAGTTGTTTAAATTTTGTATGATTTAACTGAGAAACCGTAACTAGAGAAAATGTGACTTCTTCAGCTCCCCCAAGCTCCCAACTGTCTGAAGGAGGACCAAGGTACATCAAGTAGCAGACATTCATCATACATTCTAACAACTGAATGCTGCTTTCTCGGCAATAAGAACCTCCATTTTTGTTATTATTTGTTTAATTTAGTAAAGAAAGGAGAGAGAGACTAAGACTTTACCTTCTTCATTGTAACTGTTTGTTTATTTAGTAAGTAGATGTTGAATACGTCCACTAAGAATTTACAAATCATGTTTCCCTTTAGGGTCGTCTTGATGCACTCTGGGCTTTGTTACGGCGGCAGTATGACCGGGTTTCCTTGATGCGGCCTCAGGAAGGAGATGAGGTTTGTATGTGGGGATGTGTTAGGAAAGAGCGGAGTGCTTGGATCGGTATAATGAAGGTAGGGAAATAATGATCAAAAAGAATTTAAAGCCCTCATCACACTTGAGGAAGGAATCATCGTCTTACATGTTCCTATTACACGTTCCTATTACATAGGGTGCTTAATAAATTATTTTCTATTGTTGCACTATATTTGCAAGTCAAGGCTCAACACAAGTCCCTTCTCAAGTAGTATGTAAAAATTGTGGCCTATTGTCCACATACTTTCATATGCACACTCGTTGCTTCAGCCTTTGACTTGGACGACATCACATTCTGAGGTTTTCCAAGGTGGGAAGAACAGACTGAGGACTAGTAGCAGACATATGTCCTAGCAGACTAGGACAGACTGAGGATCCTTTCTCTGGCATCTACCAGCAGAGAGGCCCAGGGAACATAGGTGAACTTCATTCACATCAACTTCAGAGGACTTTAGGTTCATTCAGGTTTGATAGGCTATTTTTTTTTTAAGATGAATGATTAATGACACTAATATTTATTTTACAGTGCCAAATTAAGTTATGTTTAGTGTTATATATTTTAGCTTGGTGCTTAACATACAAAAACATCTAAATCCTTAAAATTTTACTTCTAGGAAAATGGGGGTCATTTAAAAAACCTCTGAGCTCAACTATTTAGGAAATACAGTTTGAGACTTCTCAACAGATCATTTACCCTTTGCTTGGACCATAGGTAGAGTGAAGCAGGTGGTTTATGGAACAACCTCGTTCATTTCCAGACCACTGTAGTTAATAGAAAGTAAACTCTATTTACTCTTTAATATGCCAGCCTTTCACTGTGTGTCTTAAAATCATTGTTGTGCATCTTCTTAGTTTTCTGTTCCCCAGATTAGACATTAATTTATTTGTTTAATAACTTTCACCTGTACAAGTGTTGGGTATTGTGATAGCACTAAAGATGTATTAGCTGACAAAAGCAGGCAGTGGTTCTAACATTCTTGCCAATACTGTATATATTCTTTTCACTCTTATGATTAAAATTTAGTTTTGTCTTTCATCATTTCTACTAATTCTGATTTAATTTAGTAGTTTTTGAATTATATATGTGCCTTAGTAATGACATCAGGTACTAGTGAGGGGTAGATAACAAACTGTAGCCTTCACCCTTAAGAAACCTAAAACTTGTCTGGGAAACAAGACAGCTAGGAAAGAAATATTTATTCCAGAAGGTGATCTGAGCCACAGTATAGGTAGTTATCAAGTACTCTTGAGTGTACAGAAGGAAGAGAGATGAACAAGTTCTGGAGGAACTTGGGAATGCTTCTTCAAAAATATAGGTCTTCTATCTTTAAATATGAATAGGATTTCAACAGGTGGAGTTAGGTGGAATGAGCTTTTCCATGGATGAAACATCAGGAACAAAGTCTCTGAGGCAGCCAAGAGCACAGTGATTCGTGGATTACTAGTCTGAGGGTTGGGGATTGAAACCAGAGTGATAGGTTGGGAATAGAAGAGAAGAAATCTTTTGAGATTGAGCACAGTAAATATTGTTATTGACAAAGCCAACCATGCGACTCTGTGATATTTGTGCCAAAAATTCTACACCAATCATAAGGCATACATAATCATAGTACATGTTGGGTCAACTTTATAAAAGACTGTACAATAACTGAAATACTTGTACATCTTTTGACCCCAAATGTCCTGTCTTGTTCTCTTGTTACCCATGTCCTCTCCCCACCATACTTACTACTCTTCAGATATGTTCAGTCCATTTCCTTGAGTATGCACACTCTCTCTTGCTTTCTTTTTTTTTTTTTAATTTTTTTTAACGTTTATTTATTTTTGAGACAGAGAGAGACAGAACATGAACAGGGGAGGGGCAGAGAGAGAGGGAGACACAGAATCTGAAACAGGCTCCAGGCTCTGAGTGGTCAGCACAGAGCCCGACGCGGGGCTCGAACTCATGGACCGTGAGATCATGACCTGAGCCGAAGTCGGACGCTTAACCGACTGAGCCATCCAGGCGCCCCATATCTTGCTTTCTTAACTCCAGGTCAAATAATATTATCCAGAAAATAATATTTAATTGTTTATATGAAATCATGATTGCATGGCACCATGGCCATAATCTGTATGGACATTCCAACATCCCACAAATTTGATTTTAAAAAAGAGAGCAACAATATTTCTTAAGTTCCAGTACCTTTTTACCTTTAGAGTATCTTTCATTTTAGAAATAAAAGTGATTCACCTAGTAAGAAAATGACCTAGAGGTAGAAATAGAATTAGGATATGGAGCATATTTTGCACTGCTAATTTTGATGTACATTTGGTGTAGGATATTAAAATGGGATGATTTGCTTTGGTAAGGCTTTATTTATTCATGAGAAGCAGACTGGCTCACCATTACCTTCTACTTACTATGGCTAGTTAAGCCCTCAAAAACTAAATGGACTGAACTGTACAATTTTCACCAATTCAGTGTATGTAGACATGGTTTGTCTCCCAGGATTACATGGAGTAGAGAAAATTTTAAATTTAGGAGAGTAAGATATTCAAATGGCAGAGGCCTCCACTCCTCTGGCTATTCTTCATGTTGAATACTCCAAGTAGGCCAGAATAGAATCATTGAAGGAGTAAATTAGTCTTGGGAGGTTTTTTTGATAGCTTAAAACCATACTTACTAGTGACTGGATGCTGTAGCATGTGGCTGGGTAAAATCCTATCTTCAACTTTACTCCCCTGAAGCCAATCAGTACCTAATTAAACTCAGACTACTCAAAGTACTCATGAAAGGTTTGATACATGTGTGTATACAGCACACATGTATACAGTAAAGACAATCATTGTCCTTCCAAACTTATTACTTTGATTTCACAAATCTATTTTTCCATTAATTTTTCCCATTAAATAATAGGGAATTGGTAAATAGTATTGTATCAGCGTAGGTATATTGATTCCCACAAAAACCGTTCGCATATGAAATAATGCACTGGAAAAAATGTTATTAGCTAGTCAAGGACAATCTTTTTAAAAGAAACTTTCTTATCAACATACAAATTGGTGAAAAAATTTGCCAATAATTTTGTTATTTTCCTGTGCTCATAAAATCTTGTGCGTGTTTACCTTTGATTATACTTCTTAGAAGTATTTGTACAATGTCATACGAGGCATGTGTGTATATATGGGCAATTTGTACGTTGTAGAAATTAAGAAGACTTTTGGAAGAATTGTCTAGTCGTTGGAAATGGATAGTTTGTTTCATATTGTCAAGGAATAAGCAAGAATGGTTTCTCATTTGTGACTTTTAAAGGAAATAATAGTCTCTTTCTTAAAAAAAAAAAAAAGGCAAAACAAAGTTAGCGCTGCTTGGGAGACAATAAAACAATTGTTTTCAGGTTGTGGCTGATGGTTCCAAAATAACGGAACCAATGCCTAGTCAACAGCACGTTTTCCACCTTGGAAAACAATCTTGTCATTTATTCATAAGTTGTTTACTGCAGATTCTGCCTCTTGAGAGTTTAGTTTAATAAACAAATCAGCGTACGTAGAACTAAACCCGGAGTCAAGCACATTTACTCTGCAAGTCCCGTCACGCTGAATTTCAAGCCAAATGTTCTCCTTTTATGGCTCCGGGGCCGCACCGGGCTCATTTGCAGAAGAATTCACTGCTGAATTGAAGTCCTTGATCAAGTAATTGAAGTTCAGGCATAAAGTATCAAAGCGGCGCGAGAAATCTCTGGCCCGTCCCTCGCTCCCGCTCGCTTTCCGCGCCGCCAGCTCCTGCGGAGGTGGCGGGGTCCGCGCGCGGCGCACAGACCAGGCACGGGCTTTGATTGTGGCTGCAACTCCTCTGAGTCATGAATGTTTCAGCGCGCGGCGCGCGAGGTTAGGGCCGCGCGTCCAGGTGTAAGCTAGCAGGTTGTCGCCGACATCTGTTTGCAGCAGCGGCAGCGGCCTCCCCAGCCCGCAGCGAGCGGCCGGATTGTCAGCGGAGGTAGTTGAGAGCGGCAGAACCATTTTGGTCTCACACTCGCTGCCTGGAGGCCTGAAACACCAAAGGTAGGAGTGGGGGTGGACACAGCTGCGCTCCCAAACTTGCCTTAGGCACAAATAAAGAGATCTAATGCAGTTTGACTCCGTTGCGGTGGGGAGACGAGGACAGAAAGCCACTTCAGAGACAACTTAACGCTGCAACATCTGCCGCCAAGTTTCCAGGGAGTGACGGGGGACAGCAGGTACAGATTGAAGTCTCCACATAAACAACCTCCATTAAGCCATGGACTCTTTTGAAGGGCCTCCATCAAACATGCTGGAGTCCGCAGCAGGAGTTTGTTTGGTTTTCAAAGCGGTGTTTTGTTTTTGCAATAACAAGGTAATTTATAAATGATGCATTACCACGCGTTCTCCTTTTTCATTTGAAAAGTGAGAGTTGGAGAAGCAGAAAGGCAAAGAAAGAAGAAAGCGCGGCACTAGTTTTGGAGTTGTTCCACAAACCAATTAAATCTCCAAGGAGCTTCTTGGCTGTGATGGAGGTTATGTTAACCTTCAGACCGCAATCCCTCATTCACCAGTAAGCAGACATAAATTTATACGCTGCAATAGAAGAACCCTGGTAATAGTAACACCCATAAAGCGCATCCACTCTTTGCTTTTAAACTTCTGTCATGCGGCTTTTTACTACTTGGGGTGAAATGAAATTAGATTTTTTTCAGATGGATGTAAATTTTTAGCAAAACAAAATTGAGAAAATTCTATTCGCTTTAATTTCCTATTTATAAAAGACTTTACTTAATGCCTATAGTTGGATAGTAAAAATACAATTGTAAGTCAAAAGTAAGAAGTGCATGTTCAAGGAAACATTTTTCTTTCTGAGGGGTTTTTCTGCTCTCCCACCTAGATTCAGCCAGAGAAAAATTCAAGAACGTGTATACTTTTCAGTGGCAGTATTGCAAAAGCTCATAGTTGTGCACACACTCATGTGACATAATTAGAATTG